TGCGCACGCGATCGCACCCTTCGCCCGCGTGACTATCTCGTGCGTGTCGCCCAGCTTGCCTAAGCCTACTAGGCCTAGGTCTTCGCCCATCCCACACGCGTCGCCAACTGCACACGCGGCTCGTCCATGCGCCGCCTGCTCCCGCGTGTCCTTGTCAACCGCACGGTTGCTACCCACGCTTGATAACCCCGCGATATTCCCGCTCAGCGCCCTAGAGCTCCGTTCGTCTATTGTGCACATTTGTGCGCTCAGCGCTGTCCGCGTACCGTCCAGCGCCCGATGCGTGCTTGTCCTTTCGCTGCCATCCCTCGTGCGCATTAACCTCCCGACATCCGCCCCCTGCGCACCACTTCGCCTAATCTCCAAGCGCCATGCGTGTCTACGCCAATGCGCATGTTCGCGCCCTTCCTTACGGTCGTCCCACGTGCGCGCTGTCAACCGAACATCCACCCCTCGCGCACCACTCGTCCCCTCAGCAATATAAACACCCGAGTCTGCTATCGTACACTCGGCCCTGGTCCCCTGTGCGTATTCTTTCCTCCATTGCCCTAATGTCGCACGCCGATGGACTACCTTCTCGCGTGCCCTTGCGCACATCCATGCACTCGACCCTTCAAGCCTTGATCTCTCGAGCCTCTTGCTCGACCTCCTATGCCATTGTGCATGTCGGCACCCTTGCATACGGGCTCGTGTACGTCTCCTAGGCCATGCAAGCCTTGTTTGTGCCCTTTGCTCAGCCTTGTCCATTAGTCTCGGCCCTCGGCCTTTCCTATCATCGAGGGTCAATACCCAGTTCTGTATCAGCACCGTGCACCGCCGACAGCGTTAAGCCGTTTCATGACCAAATCTGATTTTTTTCTCTCGGCCATTAATACACCACTGAACATGAAATGATGTTTGCTGAGTAATTTAACATAAAGTGCTCGAAGTTCTGATGCTTAAAATAATCAATAATCATGCTCGGCCCGTGGTGCGCGCTACGTACACGACCACGCCCCTTGGTCGAATCACCGAACAAACATGAACATACTTCGAACAAAACAATCTGACTGAACATGATATCGCATAAAATAACTAGATATGCGAAGTTTGCTCGAAAGATTTTACATCAACACATGAACGTGCTCACACGACCGAACACCCGGCCGAGGGCGACTTAAGGTTACACTATGAAATCGGCTACATGCCATAAGATGAACATGATGCTAATGTTATAGGAAAGAGATATCTCAAACGATTACCTCCTCACTAGCTCGCCTGATTGCACAACGCTCGATCCCTCAAGCCTCCGTGCGCGTGCGATGCTTTCGGCGGTGCGGCTAAGCCTTCTCGCATGCTGATACTAAGGTAAGCTCTTCTCCCTTATACTCTCTATTAGTACTTAATATATGCTGAAGTAAGATGGGAAAATTTTCCCCAATTCCCTCCTTAAATAGTTAGGATGCTAACTCATCACTAACAAAGCTTAGTCACCCCTAAACATGTCCAAAATGAGACACCTCATGCTTACTAAATGGGAGAAAAAGTTCCTTTCCATGAAGAAAAGCTCACGGCATTTTTTTTTATATAAAAAAAAATTGAGCAAACTAATTTAAATGTCACGGCATTTAGGTTAGTTCACATAATTAAGCATACTAAAAAATCTAATTATCTAATTAATCATAATACTTAATTACCAAAATTATTCCAAACATAAACGGGACGTCGGAAATAATTTCGGGTAATTTTGACTGAAAATAATTAATTCCGAAAATAATACTCGACAATATTATTATATCAGAACTAAATACATGATTTATATTAATAATCTGACGGGATATTACAATCCTCCCTTCTTAAAAATTTCCGTCCTCGGAAATTTAGAAATGAACTGAATATACATGAAATATGTACATGAAACATGAAAATATGTACATCAAAACTGAAAATCTGGAAAACGAGCGCGAATGTCTGCCTCCGCCTCCCAAGTAGCTCCGTGGCGATCCCATTGAATACGCACGAGGGGGACATCTCACTTCCAGAGCCGACGAACCTGACGGTCCAGTACAGCTACCGGTCGCTCCTCGTATGATAAGTCTGGCTGAAACTGAATATCTGAATGAGGAATGACATGATCGGGGTCGCACACGTATTTACGCAACATAGACGCGTGAAAGACATTATGAATGCCGGATAGCTCGGGAGGTAAGGCTAATCAGTACGCAACTTCGCCTACTCGCTCGAGAACCTCGAACGGGCCAATGAATCGAGGGTGCAACTTCCCCCTCTTCCCGAATCGAACAACTCCACGAATAGGACGAACTCTAAGAAAAGCTGGCTCGCCAACCTCGAACTGAATATCTCGTCGATGATGATCGGCTGCAGATTTCTGTCGAATCTAAGTTGTCTTGAGTCTCTGCCGAATCAGCTCGACCTGATCTGCGGTCTCCTCGATCATCTTCGGACCGAGTACTTGTCGCTCTCCGACGTCGTCCCAATAAAGAGGGGAACGACACTTACGACCGTAAAGTGCCTCGTAAGGAACCATCAGAATAGAAGAATGATGGCTGTTGTTGTACGCGAACTCGGCATACGGCAACAACGACTCCCACTTAGCACCCCTGTCAACAACCAAAGCGCGTAACATATCCTCAAGCGTCTGAATGGTCCGCTCGGACTGACCATCAGTCTCCGGATGGTAGACTGAACTGAACTCTAGCTTTGTGCCCATCGCCTCGTGTAAACTATGCCAGAATCTACTGATGAATCTGGGATCTTTGTCTGATACGATAGTAACGGGCACTCCGTGGAGTCGAATGATCCCACGGGTATAAATATTAGCCAACTTATCCAAAGACATCTTCATCGAAACGGGTAAGAAATGAGCGACCTTAGTCAATCAGTCGACCACGACCCAGATAGCATCGTGGTGTTCAGACGACCTCGATAATCCTGTGACGAAATCCATCGTGACTTCCACCCACTTCCATCTCGGAATCGGCAGTGGTTGCAGGAGGCCGATCGGACTCTGATGTTCGGCTTTGACTTGCTGACAGGTAAAACATCTCCTGACGAACTCGGCAACG